TAAAACAATAATATAACAATAATAATAAAGAAATGTCAGCTTTCTTGGTGGAACCAGTGATATCAGGGTCTTGCTGTCCAAGCAAGATCAAGTTAACTCACCAAAAAAATAAGTTAGTTCTAGACTATGTTAATTGGGCAGCTTGCCATTTTCTGTGCCCCTGAATTTGTCTGGTATTTTCCAGGTGGTGCTTGTACACTGTGTTTTTTTTTCTCTCACTTTCTTTTGGTGTTTAATTTCTGGACGCTGTTGCCAGGCAGGAGATAGAAGGAAGCTGAATTACTAAATTTAATCTTACCTAGCAGGCTTCACACAGATCGTTTAATACTGTTAAAGAGCCATCTATATTTCATTTTAACTAGGAATCACAGTGGAAAGCATGATTTCTCTTACAGATCTTGCAGGCAGGCCTTGAAATGGCAGCAGTTGCAACTGTGTCAGTGTTCAGAGACGGGATTATAAATTAAAGGGAATTAACCTCTGCTGCTCTGTAAGGTGAATCTGGTGATCTTGCCTACCCTTCTGTAGGTAAGATTTGGCCCTGCATCCAGCAGTCAGTAGGAATGGACCAGAGACCCTTGTTTTTGGGACACCTCATTCTTAAGTGCTGTAACGAGTATGTAAATCTCTTTTATTCTGGAAGAGAAGCCCATGCAATGTATAAAATGTATGCTGGTGGAATAGCATATTCTTTTTTTTCTCCCCCTCCTAGACGATGACAATTCAGAAGAAGGCCTTCACACCATCCATTCGGGAAGGCATGAATATGCATTCAGCTTCGAGCTTCCACAGACGTAAGTGCCCACATGCAGTCCTTGGGCCCTGCTGCCCACCTGCCTGAGCAAAACTCCTGCTGTGGGTGGAGGGGAAACCTTTTCAGTGGTTAGGAATTGTGCTCTGACATGCAGCAGAGGACATAATCTCATTAAACTGAAGAGGTTGCTTTTAAACCGATGCACACTGCCTTTTTTTTTTTAAATTTCCACAAAATGGGAGCCCATTGCTGCCCAGTTGCTTACTTTGTTTTGATCAAGTCCTGCTGACTTCTTCGGTCTTCCAGTATTTTACCCCTTCCCAGGACAAGGGAGAGGAATTTGACTGTCACTGGAGTACTGTAGAGTGGCTGAGATGCCTTCTAACCCAACCAACAGTTCACTGGAGCCATGCAGACCAGCAGAACTAGAGATAAGATCACAGCTTAATTGTTTGGGCTCAGTCTGGAACAGATGGGGCAAGTTTAACTACCTCTGAACAAAAGAGGAGGTTGTTCTCCTTTAAATAGGGTGTATGTACGCAGGCTGGCCTTGATAAAGAAAGCCTGGATGGAAGTAAGCAGAAGGACGGGTGGATGAAGCAAGAAGAATTCCCTGTACCTAATCCCATTTGTCTCAAAGGTGAAGCAAGAGCGAGAGCAGAAGGGTTAAGATAAAGATTGCTCCCCTACCCCCCCCAAGTCTGAAATGTGTGAGGTAGACATTGTGAATGGAAGATTTATACATAGAGGAGTTACCAATGTGGAAATCAGCTAAAAATACAAGTTGCAATAAAATTAAATACACAGGAACAGAGGGAGTCTCCACGTAGATGGAAAAAAGGAGCCTTTTGCTGTAAAAGGCAAGCAGTGAAGTCATTAAGGTTGAAAAAATTTGGCAGTGTGTTATGTCAGATAGCTCAGTACCTAATATTAAAGCTAATAAACCATCTGTTTAATAGAGGTGCTGGTTTTAGCAGAACCTGCAGATGATAAAGGCTTTTAAGGGTCTGTTTCAAAGTGAACAGCACAGGACTTCACAGTAGAACTTACTGGAACAGTGGAGAAGACCCATATACATGGAGATTTTTAAAGACAATTTAGCACTCTGAAAATCTCAACTGCAAAAAGGAATAAGGCTAATACCGATATGCCCTTGAGGTGAAATGGGCATTTAAATACGAAAAACCAAAATGTTATACATGAACGTGAACTGCTTAGCTTGAAGTGAAGCACATAGCTAGCAAAATACCACAAGCAGTGGTCAAAACACAGGTTCTTTTTAAGTGACCTGAAGGGAATAACTGTGAAACTAGCTGTTGATAATACTGAACAAGCAAAGGCTGGTATTAAAAGCCTGAAGTTTGACACTGCCTACTTCTTACATGTTATTTTGTGTCCGTAGAATACTTCCAAAATTGACTTAAACTACAGAGCAACAGCAGAAAGAAAGACGACGCGTACTGGCCTTAACTTTTTTTTTCCCTGAAGAATATGGGGCAGGATGAAACATTGAAGACTGATTAGAAAATCTTTTCATGTGGATTATTAAAAAAAAAAGTAAATATTTCAGATGTGCAAACAGAAAAGTCAAACCTGTAACAGAAAGAATCATTCAAGTAAAGTACTAGCATGGCTAGTATTCCCTATGGAAGATATGGAAGCTTGGCAAACAACTTATGTTTAATTTATATGTTACAATGTATTCAAAACATAGTATAATACAAAAAAGTTGCATAAAAATAAAACTGGAATATAGAGATATTTTGTGTTTCATTTTATGATGTTACAGGGGAAAAAAAAGGTTATGCTGAAAGGTTTGGAGATCCTTTTGACATTGTTTTTCCTCCAGCTCCCAAAAAGGACGACTTTCATCTCTGAAAGTTCAGAGCAGAATAGGCTTGATTATTTTATGTGTATATATATACGTACATCCATATACAATATAAACATTTTAAGCTGGTCTCACCAGGGTAGAGGAAATGAGAAGGTACTTGAAATAGCTTCTCTTTTCAGAACTCTACATTGAAATACTTAACTCTGATGAAGGTGAAACAAACTACAAAAGTGCTGAGTTACAGCTAAACTTAATCCTGAGATACCAGCCAAGTAAACAATAGACAATGATTTACAAAATACAATATCCAAAATAATTGGTTGATACTAATGCTGATTTTAAGTTGGTAGTCTAATTTGGCCTTCAAAGGGCATGCTTTACTCAGATGTGAAAGTGGCCTCTTAAGTTTAAAGGAGATGTGCATTCTCCTGGCATTTTCTGGTACAATTCTTTAACTGATTCTTAAAATCTGTGTGAAACTACAGTAGGATGAATCGGAGATGATTTTTTCTCCCATCTTTAATCTTGAATTTTTCTGAGATATGGAAACTTTGCAAATAAGTTACGCTGGATTAAATACTATAGTGCATTAAAAAATGCAATTCTACATACTAATCCCTGATCTGATCAATTGTATCATTATTAGACAGAAAGACTTTACTAAATTTTGACCTTTGTGTCCTGCACAGACCACTTGCTACCTCATTCGAAGGCAGACATGGCAGTGTGCGCTATTGGGTGAAAGCCGAATTGCATAGGCCTTGGTTTCTACCAGTAAAATTAAAGAAGGAATTTACAGTCTTTGAACATATAGATATCAACACTCCTTCATTACTGGTAAGAATTGACAGAATTACTCGCTCTTTGTTTCTGGCATAAAAATAATGAAGTATAATAAGTGAAACAATATCCACATCTAATCTTATCTAATATTTATTCACTAGTTTAATTACAGCTGATCTCCTAAGTATTACATCAGTTCAGCAACTCTTCTAACTATCGGTATTTTGAAAGCTACGTTTTTCTCTAGTTGGAGTTGCTTCACATTTAAGATACATAAAATGGCTTTGTCAATTTAAATTGATAATACTAAATTGTAAAAAGTCACTAAGAAGGAAAATTTTGAGAACTGTTCCTCTTTGATTTTGAACAAAGAATAATCTGTGGAAGGAACAGAGAAACTTAAAAGTGAGAGACTGCTAACTTAAAAATGCAAAGTAAAAAATGTACTGATGTGCATAATTGATAATTTCCATATAGATAGTTTTCTACCAATGGGGAGAAATTATCATAATTCTGTATAGTCTTCTGAAGTGTCATTTCACTAAAATAATTTCAGTATCACAACTGCTTTCAGTGATGATTTGATTTCAATCTGGCCTAAAACTCCTTCTCTTTTTTTTTCCCCTCTCCTCCTCAAATTCTAATCTATGGAGGGGGAAGAAAAACCTCAAGTCCATTGAAATAGGTTTCTTTTGTGTATGGGTGAAAAATCAGACTCACAAAGGGACATTGGCCTTGCACAAATTCCATTAAAATCAAAGGACTCCCGTTTGACTTTAATGGGCTTTGGATCAAGTTCTAAATCCTGATACCGTGTAAAATAACAAAGTCTGTTCAATATAGATGAAATGGGATCATTCTGAAACAGAGGAAGTAGCAGGAGTCGAGGTTACAGTACTTAGTTGCTGTTTCTGAAATACAGTGTACTGGAAAGATGTTCTGGTTTACCGATGAATGAAAAGCTCTGCCAGCAATATGTTGGGATATGTAGGCTATAAGGCCTTTTCTTAAGTTACACAGTATTTATGTATACTACTTTAAGTGTGACTGTGCTATGAAGTATGGCAGAAAAAGCAGTGGTAATGAGTAATGGAATTAGAATAAACCTTATATCTGCATTATGCCATTTAAATTGCTTGAGTGTTTTTCCCCTAAATAAAACTAGCTATGTTTATCAAAATACATAATAAATACATGATGAAAATAATTTTTTGTGTTGATGAAGAGATTCACAGAACCCTTAATTAAATGGGCAATGTTGTTCTTTTCTTGCAGTCACCCCAAGCAGGCACAAAAGAAAAGACTCTCTGTTGTTGGTTTTGTACCTCAGGCCCAATATCCTTAAGTGCCAAAATTGAAAGGAAGGGCTACACCCCAGGTACGTAACAGAAGTAATTACAGGAAATGTTTTTCCTTCCCTTCTGAAATGACAGTTTGTACTTAACTGCTTTTATATAAACTAAATATTTAAACTGTTCTTCCCACCTCGGTCTGCATTCAGCAATCTTTCTGATACTTTAACTACGACTAATTTTGTGAACTAATGCTAGCTGTGCCTCCAGATGGTTGAAGGACATCTGCTTCTATTAGACTTGTGCATTTCTCTTTTAAATTAGCTCATGGTGATCCTATTCATACTAGCGTCAGTGGATGTGTTTCAAGGTAGAGCATTGCTAGTAGTGTCCAGTGCATTATAACAGTACACAGAATGTGGCAATTTGCTTAAGTTGCCTTGCATATATAAAGAGAACATGAAGTTCTGTTTTGTTTCAGGTGAATCAATTCAGATCTTTGCTGAGATCGAGAACTGCTCTTCCCGTGTGGTGGTGCCAAAGGCAGCCATTTACCAAACACAGGCATTTTATGCCAAAGGGAAAATGAAGGAAGTCAAACAGCTTGTTGCCAGCCTGCGTGGGGAATCCTTGTCGTCTGGCAAAACAGAAACCTGGAATGGCAAACAGTTGAAAATTCCGCCTGTTTCCCCTTCAATCCTTGACTGTAGTATAATCCGTGTGGAGTATTCGCTGATGGTATGTGGATGGTCTGTTTCACTTGAGCATGAGTAATTGCCATCATTCCTTGCAAATAGCTAACAAAGTATTCTGTGCTAACTAGTTACAAAAGGAATCCCATATCCTAGTATTAGTGTCCTGACAGGAGTTCTGTAAATAAATTCAGTTCAAATTTTCTTAAGTTCCTTTTCTTAAATGGTGTTAAAACAGTTGTGGTGTGCCAGCTGAGCAAACTTCCTATGAGTAGGTGACACTTCCATGTGAGGGCTCATGTTAAGAATCCTGAGTTGCCTTTGACTCGGGGAGCTTTTTTCTCCATAGGGGCATTCGCCCTAAAACAGACAATAAGAAACTTAAGTTCATTGTGGAAAAGTCCATGGACAGAGAACTTAGTCTCATGATTATGAAGTGCTCACACAAACCTACATTTTAATAATACTCTTCTTTTGTTGTTGTTGTTTAGGTATATGTTGATATTCCAGGTGCCATGGATTTATTCCTTAACTTACCACTGGTCATTGGTACCATTCCTCTACACCCATTTGGTAGCAGAACATCAAGTGTGAGCAGCCAGTGTAGCATGAACATGAATTGGCTTGGTCTGACACTGCCTGAAAGACCAGAAGGTAACTTGACAACACAAATCCCAATGGATTTGCTAGTCTGTGTTGATTTTTGTCTGCTTTATTCATTGCTGTTGTGCAAACAGACCCAAATTACATCCTTTATTAGTAAAGCCCACAGGAAATCCCTTGTGGATGTTTCCTTGCTGCTTGCTTGTCCTCTGTAGAAGAACAGAGTTCCCTCCCTGTCTTCCTCTCCCAAGGACAAGCAGTGAAATCCAGCTGCTGGGAGGCTGGCACAAGTAAAAGCGCAGGATGCCGTTGTACCTGTGCAGAATTAATTCTGCCTCAGCTATCCCAATTGCATTCTTGTTTATAAGGCATTGTAACCTGTCATAATAGCAGTTTATGGTGTCCTTTACCAGCCTTAGTAGCCAAGGCTTTGTGAAAAGATAATGTAATTAATTTCAATGGGAAATCTCTTGTCAAAGGAGAAACTCTATGTCCTTCCCTCTGTTTTCACATACCTAATATAAATACATTTTTTATGTACAAATCCCAGACTTGGATTTGTGGAGTCCTCAGGAATGCAATGTTCTAGCATTCCTACCAGCACAGAAATTCAGTATTCTGAGTATGCTTTAAACTTTATGGGGATAATTAAGCCACAATAAGCAGTTGGTCAGTCTGCTCTTGGATTTGAGGAGGATCTTAAAATAAAACAAAAACAGCCTACCCTCTCATTCATATTCAACAACTCCTAAAAAGTCTGATGTCATTTACTTACCTGCTGGTGCATTTTACAATGATAAAAATTTAATATTTCTCATGTTATATGTTTTGACATGCATAAGAACTTGTTGTTCGAACTGCGTGTGCCTTTTCCCTGCAGCACCTCCTAGCTATGCAGAAGTGGTCACGGAGGAACAAAGGCAGTCCAGCCTTGCGCCCATAGGTGCTTGTGATGACTTTGAGAGAGCGCTTCCAGGACCATTGTTCGCGTACATCCAGGAGTTCCGTTTTCTGCCTCCACCCCTCTATTCAGAAGTAGGTACCTCAGACAGAATATGATGATTAATTCACTGGGTTTTTTTTCTGAATTCTGTTTTGTGGAATAAATGTAGGAAGTTGTTTTCTCTCTCCTAAAAATCAGGAGAAATCAGGAGAAATCATGAAAATTATGAACAGGGGATAAGGTGACTTCGTTTTGGCAAACCGCAGGTGAATTGCACCAAGAGTTTTCAGGATTCTTCACAATTCTGTTGCTTCATAGAAATTTCCAAACTGTTGTGTACCTCTTAGCAGCTTCATTCAAACCTTGCATTACATACATAAATGTTACGTTGGTTAACACCAACGTTTTGGGTCTCTAGATGTACAAACATGCTAATGTCTTTCAGCTCTACTTCTTCCTAAAACTACTCCGTCTCTGTCTTTTTGGTTCTGTGTATGTGTGCTTTCAGAAGTTCCATGTAGAAAAGTTACAAAGGTACTCTTTCTAACTTAAGTTTGTGTAAATACACAGTTCTCCAACACTTCTGGCTGCATTTTTAGTTCTATGAAAGTCACTCAATAACCATGACAAAACTTGAAAAGCTTTCCTTTTTCATATTTTTCAAGAAAAAGCAGTGGTATAGCACAAAAGTAAAGTAGTGTCCTTTGGCTAGATCTTGCCTGAATTCGCTGTTGCGTTTTTCCCCTTTTCTTGAAACACTGATCTGCTTTTGAGTGGGCAGAGAGGGGCATGGCTTTTGTGTGCTGGAAACTTCTCTGAGGACTCTTGTAACCCTAGAATACAACTCTTGTGTCCTTTTCATTTTAGGTACTTAAAGATTTAGAAGCCTATTTTGTCCTCAAATGGTTGTATAAAATTAACTTAAGAATGTTTAAACCATGTACCATACACTTAAACTGTTCTCACTGTCCAGTTTTGGAAACCTAAGTTAGCAAGTTGTTCCCCTTCTTCCTTTTCTAGAAAGGAAGAAGAGGCAAGGTGTGAAACGCATGAAACTCTTAAGACATTTAGTGGGGTGTTTGAGGATTAATTAATTGTAAATTAACAGTATAATGACTTTTTACTGATAACTTTGTCTTTTGAAGCAAAACATTCTCAGAAATCAAATATTTTTAAGTTGAATTTTTAGTGATGAGTTGTCTTTTTAGTGTAGAGTAAATAATTCAAAAGATTTCCCTGCTGCTAAAGCAGATTTTCTCAAGTTTTTTATTAGTTCTTTGTGCTTGTTCTTAAACTAGCATCAACCTGTAGTTTAAAATTTTCCACTATACTTAGCTACTAATTTTTTCATTCATAGCTTTGTCTAATTGACTAGAGGTTTTTCAGTTACTTGAATAACCTTTGGATTGGGAATACCATTTATTGCCACAGTTGGCTTAAGCTTTTGAATTTTGGTGGGGTTTTGTTTGGATTGTTTTTTTCTAGCAAATGACTCTCAAAATTCCTTGGGTTGTGTTTTTTTTCCCCTGTCTTTTGGTTAGATTGATCCAAACCCAGATCGGCCCACAGATGACAGACCATCTTGCCCCTCTCGTTGAAGGAATCCGTAAAAAGCTGACTTGACTTGGGTTTTGAATCATACCTGCTGTGTTGAAGGTCAAGGCGTCATAGTGGAGACACAACTTTCAAAGGAAGTGGTTTTGCTCTTGCCTGTATGGTGAATACATGAAAACAACCTGTGATCATGCTTTGAAGCCTACAGTAACCTTGTAGGACTGCTCCACATGCTTGAAGACCTGAGCTTTCCCCCCCACCCTTAAATACTGGCACATACTAGGAGCAGCCTTACTAACCTACAGTCATGTGTGTCAAAACACTCAAACCACATTGTCAGAGAGGGATGGCTTCCTCTTATGATTGGGAAATTTGCACATGCTCATTGCTTAATGTTGTGCGGTTCAGTGTCACTACAGCTTTTTCTCATTTATGCTGGACTGTTGTTACCCCCCTCTTATTTGTTTGTGGTCCGCACAATAAGGAGCAAAAGAAAGCTTTGACAAAAAAACAACAGCAACAGACTGACAAATGCACTGACTTTTTCTTTTTTTGTTGTTGTTTTTTAATTTAATGTAGCCTGGACTTTACCTGCATATGCACATGCTCAGAATTGTCCTAGTAGGCTGACCATGTATCACCTCTTCAGCTTGGATCCTATTGTGGATTTATTTGCAAACATCAAATGCCTTCAAGCCAATCCTTCTTGCTGTATGTTTTGCAGCCTACTATAGTAGATAAGCAACAGATGTGGGGCTTGGGTAGGGGTGTGGAGAGTTAATAGAAAGAAACTGATAGACTTCATCAAGATTGTATACCTTCTTGATTTCTTTTAAGAATTTGTTGCCTTTCTACTATTATTGCAAAGCAGCATTTTGTTACAGACTGCCTAAAAATCACTTAATCTCAGGTGAACTCATCACTTGCCAAACTGTTGGAATGCTATTTGTTTTGTTATGTTGCACTGTTGAGTTACTTCTTTTTTTTGTTTTGTGTTTGTGTTTTGTTTTTGTTCTTTGAGAGGGGGATCTGGAATAGGGACATACACAAAAGCTAGAAAACCCACCCTCATGCCCATTTCTCTTTCTACATTGTAAAAAAAAGATGTTCAAGTTGTGAAGCTTTAAAAAAAAAAAAAAAAGGCACAAATGAAAGTAGCACCAGTAGACACCAGCTCAGCCTCAAAATAATTTTAAAAGGAAAGAGTCATATGCTGTCTAGGATTTATAGACAAATCAGTATCTTAAGTAGTAGAGAGGGGAAGGGAAAGTGAATTTATTTTTATATATAGTTACCTAATCACCAAAAATTCTATATGTAATAAGTCTCTAGTAGAAAGTATATTTCAAACTGCAGGAAGAGCTTGGACTATGCTAAGAGCTGAGTTTGTGCACTTTGTATTATCTTCAGGGTTTATGATACTGTAAAAATAGTAAGACTAGAAGTATAATTAAACTAGGCAAGATCAGTGTTACCAGCTGTACTGAGATACCTATTAGCTAGAGTTGCTTTGGTGATTGCATCTTCTGTGGTACTTGCAGGGGCTTTGAAACAAATGGTGTATTTCACCATATATTCATTCAGAATGCGAGAAATGATACGGAAAGAGCACTGGCCCTTGAGTGTTAACCAAGGAAGAAAAGAGTGCAATGGAGCCATTAGATGTGCTAACACCAATACCAGCACTTAACATACTAGAGATTTATAAAAAAAAAGTCAACTTTCCTTTTCGGAAGTAATGTAACAGAGACTGCTGACGAAGGGACACACTTCTGGTGTTGATGACTTAAATGAATTAAGATGTAATCTGTCAAGTATCTATCTCCTTGTGCAATAAAACAGCTCAGAAGGGAGCAGGAGAGGGGAGGCTGGTGTTTGTGTGTGGTGCTCGTTCTTAAAAACCTCTGCCTTGGTTTTAAGGCTTCGTAAATGCGACAAAACAGGCTTTTCCATAAGTGGCCTTTCTGAGAACATGAACAATAATTCATGTTTCAAAAATGACAACAGGGTGATAAAATATAAATGAGTCACGTTTTAAGTGATTCAGTTAAAAGGCTTGGGCTTTGAGCAAGAATATTGGATGAGAAGGAAATTGGGTGATGTCTTATGTTACTAGGCCAATTTTGTGAATGTCCCTTCCCTCTACCCTCTCTAGTCAGACAATTTTAAAAGCTGATGGGATCGTTGGCATAAAAGGGCATTTGGTGGTTTTACTTTTTTTTTCCTTTTTTTGTTATTTTAACAGACTAGGGAACAATTGCTGATATACATAGCATTAAAGTACTTACCACAATGTAATGGAAAATTGCGTATGAAGCAGGATTGACCAATATTGTAGTAATTGACGTGGCATCACAGCCTTTGTGATTAGAGTGAAGTCTATAACCTTATCAAATAAAGACTTTGGGTTTAAATGATACTGTTGTTCAGAGGCATTACTCTTTCACAAGTATTGGTCAATTCTCAGCGTTCTAAAACATGAGGTTCACAGTTGTAGCCCGGTATTTGATACAGAATTCTGATCTGAATTAGGAAAAAGTAAGTAAAATCCAAACATTAGAGAAACAAAGTGCAATATTAAATGTTTGCTTTATAGATTATATTCTATGGCTGTTTGTACTTTTCTTTTTTTGTTTTTAGTTTTGGTGCTGAATATGTCCTTGTAGACTCTGTTTCAAGAAAACAATATGTGGAAAACAATTTAATTTTTCCTATTGCTCTTCCTTGTGGAAAATAAACTTTTTTTTAAAAAAAAAAGGCTTTTAAATGTGTTCAGTATAAGTCATAACTCTTACCTCATACATTACCTAAGTATTTCTTTCAAAAGATGCCTATGGATCAAATAGTAACCACAAGGGTCACATAATACAGGAACTTCCTGTAGGAACACATACGCTAACCTGTCTCAAACTAGATAGGGAAAAACTCGTTCCAGACTACACCACTGAGTACCATGACAGTCCAGTTTTGGCATGCTCACCCCCTTTTATGTATATCAGTGACCTCTCGGGGCTAGGGTGCAGGCAGGAAACTACGTTTTCCCACATGGGGAAGTGCCAGTGCCTGGCAGGATATGCGTGCTTTCGCAGCATGCTGTGCGTGTCCCTGCGACTGCGGTGATGTCCCTTCCCACGCCATGTGGCTAGGGTGTGGGGAGGGGGCAACACATTTTGGTGGAGCTGGGGAGGAAATGGGGCAAGGGGAATGAGTTCAAAGATCTTGTTTGCAGCTGGGATGTGGAAATGTGGTTTGGCATTACTGGGTGCAAAGGGTGCCCTTGGAAGGTCCAGTGTGACCGGATGCTCAAAATGTCCACCCGCGTTCTGTGTCCCTCGGTGGAGCTCTGTGCGGGATTCGTGAAGCTCCCCAGCCTGCCAGCAGTGAGGCGCTGCTGCGGCATCTCGCTTCTGCGTACTATACACAGCTGAACTTCTGACAGAAGGGGTTGTCATTATCCTGTGGTATCAGCATGTAATTTGGCCTAGGCTTAGGTTCAGCACGAGGGTGCGGTCCAGCGGGCGAGCAGCCAGGGGCTGGGCTGGCCAGTGTGCTCTGTCCCTCCGTTGGTGTTCGGGGTGCTGGGAACTGCTGCATTCCCATAGAACTGTACCCTTGGTTTAATGGCGCAGCTGCTAATGTGGACAGCCCAAACATGATCTAACACTGTACATAATACCAATAGTAGAACCTCCCTGTGTGAAACACAGTGCTTCAGCTTAATTTTGAGTTTGTAAACGGCAGACTTTTTAGGGTTTTTTTCCCACCTATTAGTAACACCGTTAATCATTTTTGCCTGAGTGCTAGTTCAAACCAAACACAAAACACAGAAACACAAAGGTTGTCTTTCATTTTGCTCATCTACCTGGAGCTCCTTCATAGCTGAGTGACAATGTGAATATTTTTTTTTTTTCCTAATACCAGCACAACCCTTCTTAGTAACCAAGTTTCTAATGCTGTGTGGCAGTATTAGAATTTAAATTGGCATCAGCACCATTTAAGGGACAGACACTTCTAAGAATTTAAATTGGCATCAGCACCATTTAAGGGACAGACACTTCTAGCAGTTCTGTGCAACATGTTCTTGAAATCTCACATTTTCAGACCAGCACTTCTACTTAACAATTTAAGCTTAGCTTTATTGTCAGCGTTATTATAAAGTTGGAAGTTATCAAAGTTTTATTATTTGAGATCTGATTTTCTTTTGTTTAATGCAAAAGTTTCTTATTTCCGAATATTAAGATACTTGTGCGCACATACAAATCTGTGCTATGCCAGGATGTAAAACTAACGGCCCTTCCACGTCAGCTGTCCATAAAAATGTACAGAAGGGTGGCAAGTTACAATGCTTGAGTGCTTGAGCTTCTGAGAGACACAAGGCAATGTTGCAAAATTGATCGACACCTTTTCTGGCAATTATCTAGCTAAAACACGTATCCAGCACTTTTTAACCCCTTTCTAGATTAAGCATGTGTTTTACAGAAATGAATTACTAATTCGCCATAAACTGCAGCCACCTTAGCTTTCCACAGCATGGCCACAAAGCACAAAGCCCAGCTGCAGAACTGAAGAAGGGTCTCCAGAAGCAGTGCGTGAAGCTGGGTGTCCACCCAACAATGGCTTTCCACAGGAAAATGTCTTTGCCCAGGTGAATGTTGCTGATTTGAACCAACTCCTGTGACTCGGGGTACATGGCTATGGGCAACTCTACAGCAAGTCAAATGCTTAACGTAGATTTTCAGTAGGCTGGTGTTGCAGGAGGACAACTGCTCCCAGGGACGTAGAGTCCAGACTTCCCATGTATCATGGATTTTGAGCAGATCCCCCTCTTCTGAGGACCACAGAGACTTGAGGAGGTACCACGAGTTGCACTGCATGACTGTTACTGTGCATTCCAGCTCCTAGATGTTGTGTTTTTAGTGAAAGCCACTTGCAAAGGCATATTGTCAGGCAAGTTCCACCTGCCCTCCAGACTATATCCTGGAAACAGGAGAAAAGTAACCTATTTCTTCTCCCAGCAAGCATTTGCTCCTGGAACTCCCCCACCTAGCTACAGCATGCTATTTTTAGAGCTGGATCTTCCTATCACCTGACCTCGTGGACATTAGGACAGAGCAGTAGCTTCTGAGTAGAGGCCAGGTGCTACCACAAAATCTGAGCTGAAGAGTGTACCTGTCGTCTAATCCAGCTCCTAACAGGGAATATTCAGAGTTCAGAAGGACGCTTCATTTTGAGTTTGCTTCAGGCACCTCGCTATAATAAATGTTTGTTATATTTGGATGAAAGGCAATGACCTAGAACAGAGAAGGTGAGAGCTTTAAATATAACATAACAACCGAGTCATTTAGGAGATGTATTTTTAGGGGGGGTAGGAACATACAATTAAAAAAAAAAAAAAGCATATCCAGTAACTAATATTAAAGTGCAAAGCCTGGCATTATGTGTTAATTCTCTGCTGGTCCAGCAGTAGAGTCTGATGTCTTAGAATGATAGAGTCATAGAATCATAGAATCATTTAGGTTGGCAAAGACCTTTAGGATCATCCAGTCCAACCATTAATCTAACACTACCAAGTCCACCACTAAAACAATTAAGGGTAGACTAATAATTAATTTAATGTTTCCTGGCTTGGTGGCTGGATTATTTTTTAATGAAAATAAAACTAGGAATCATTAAGGTTGGAAAGGATCTCTAAGATCATCAGTCCAACCATCAACCCAACAGCACCATGCCCACTAAACCATGTCCCAAAGTCCCACATCTACCCGTTTTTTGAAGACTTCCAGGGATGGTGACTCCACCACCTCTCTGGGCAGCCTGGTCCAATGCTCAACC